CGCCGTTACGAAATCATAGACGCCATAAAACAAAAATTAATAACTAACAATTTAGAGTTAAATTCTTTACGAATATTATATAAGAATGTAGCCTGAAGTTCCAGCTTTGCAATGAAATTATAAAAGTTCATAAATTAATTACAGAAATTGAGTAATTAATAATTCTTCACTGCCGGAGCCATTCTATCCTTTTCTATCCCCTCTCTGTCCCTGTCTGTCACGTGACAAGCTGTTCGACGACCTCCTCGCCTATTCTATGTTCCTATCACTTTCTTGATTTTTGAGCCCAAATCATAGATGGCGCTGATCGTAAGCGGTAAAAATTTTTAATTTTAAAAGAATTTAAAATCTTAACACATCAATTCGGCAGTAGAAAATTAATAAATTTCCAAGTTTTTGTAATTAATTCATGAACATTTATAGCTGCACAGCAAAGTTGGAATTATAGACAATATTCTTATACAATGTTTAATTGAATAATTAATACTTACATGAGCGAGAGGTTTTGTATTTCCTGTATATAATAATTACGTATATTTTCGTGTCCTTTCTGTAGTAAATGAGATTGCTATAGAAAACTGTCTTTCTTGTACAGTATTCTTATTGTTTTGTAATAAATATATACTAGCATGAGAAATCGTAAAAAATAAATTTCTTTATTAAGAAATTTTATTTACAATTGTTTGTTTACATTGTTTCCAAAGGCGAAAAATGAATACAAAATAAAAAATAGATTTAAGAAATTTTACCAACCATGGGAATTGAACCCCTGTCCTCCAGCATGCGAAATATCGAATATCGCCACTAGACTACGACGCTACTTGAAAATTGTTGGAAATAAAGTTATAGCTACTTATACGATAAAACTCTAATTGTAAATATCTTAAAAAGTATTAAGTAATTGTTTCTGTAATGATATATTTTCCAAAACTGCATGACGATATCTACAAACCTGCAAAGTTTCAACTTAATCGGTGACCCGAAGGACTTGCTGTCTGTGAGTGTACGTTCGTTCGAGCCAGTTAAAGGCGATTAAACGAAACTCGAGTGGATAGAATTAAAGATGAAAAGCACGCGTGTGCTTACGTACACGACGATTGATCATCGCAGAGGCTTCCTTTCGACGAAATCGGTGCTGGAAATCTTTTCTTCCGAGTTTCTAATTAGCTTTCCGGAGATCCATCGACCGATCGAAGAAGTACTCACGGTCGACCCGCCATACAGAGAAGGCGCTCTTATTAATAACTACAAGAAACGCGGAAGCAGCAGCCAGAATCGTGACTGTTTGTTCAACCGCGTTGATGTTACACGCCTCCGACGTTCCTATCAGCCCAGGCTCCCCGCGATCGGAGACGGAGAAACGCTCCGGAAGATACTCCGACGAATAGCTAGATCATCGAGATCGAGACTCGCACTCTCGGAGGAGTAACGCGCAATATGGACCATTGAACGAGTAACGATTCGTAACAACTTACGTCAGACAAACCACCGTACGAATTTCCAACTTACGAAACACCACTCGTTCCTCCTTTACTTTTACTTTGCCGGTGTTCCCACAATTCTTCGGGTATCCGCGGTTAGCCAGCAACGCATAGGCGCTGTGAACCAAAGGTTGCATTATCCGTCGCGGAAGAGGGAATGAGGACTGTCGTTGTGAGAAACCAGGATGCATCCGTGGCACCGGCACGAGAATCGCTCGCGGAGCATCGGACATCTCTCCATCTCTCGCGAGATGCGAGCAGCAGAATCGCGATTAGCCAAGCTGTACCGTGAATCGTCATTGATGACGTTGCCATCGTCATTCCTGCGTCAATCGCTATGCGACAAAGAGGAAATCCGACTGTTCTCTTTACCGCTTCTTACCCGAATGTTCGTGATACCGCGACGTGACTCGATTTCGCTAGAGCGGCTTGCAAACTCGCGCGTTTATTCGTTCCAGCGATTCGTGGCAAAAATGCAGTTGCGTCATTAGTCGGCTTATCTATACTCAGGTATCGTAAGTTAATTAACTGCGACCGATGGAGCGCGATTCCGAAGGCAGCGGGTTTAAAGGAATTTCATTTGCGAAACGTGCTTCGTACTACGCTGTGCCTGCTAACGAGTTGCATTCGTTTCCAGTGGACCCGTTCGATATAGAAACGATCGGTGACACGATGTCGCTCGTCACGACGTGGTCCAAGTAGAAAAATGTCATCTGCGCTCGGGTCATCGCTGACGGAAGAAGCGAGCTAAAAAGTCGCGCTACGCGATCTCGATCGGGGACTAGTCGATTTTATGCACCACGACCACGAGAATCGCTGTATTGGCAGAAAAAGTTATCCCAAGCTTACCTGTTGCTCGTGTTACTCGTCGATACGTTGTACCGTTTGAGAACGCCGGGGAACGATCAACACCCTCACTCAACGACGGTGCGCACCGGACTGACTGAGATCGAGTAGCGGACTTTCGGAGATCGAGCAGCGGTCTGCGAGTGCAACGTGAAAAGATTCAGGAGAAGAGTGGGGAACAGGTTGGGAAAGTACCTGCCACCGATTCCAGTCATTATCGAAAATCGGAAGTGAAGGAAAATTCTGGTCCCTTTAACACTTCTGATCCTTGCTTTCCGTTTCGATCCTTATCGTCAATTTCGTTTTTCGAAATACGCTTTTATCTTTGATGTAACGATTGTCGTTATCGCAATAACGGTGTGTTTTAAACGCGAAACGATGTTTTCTTCCTCCGTGAAGAATCGTTTAAAGTACCACGATTATGTTAAGCTAAGGACCGACGAAATTGTAGCGAATCTAAAATTGGCCGCACGATTGGTAGCTGCGTATGATAACGCGGCCTTCACCTAGTTACATCATTCGCATTGGAATTGCTCTAATTTTACAAAGGCACGCTGAATAGTTTGCAAGGTAAACCGCCGTAAATTTCTCCGTCCCGATATTAATACGCGATCAACGGGGCACTGAAGGTATACGATAATGCTTCAAAAATATAATATTTATTAGATATACTCTGATCTTACAAACAAAATTTCAACTTAATATGCTATGTTGCAATAAATTAGAATAATTTAACTTATAATTTCCGCTCTAATTGTCTAACTATTATGGAGGCATGTGGATACTTGACTTGAAATGACATAGAAAGTTATTGAAATTGAAGTAACAAAAATTCCTTATATTCTTTGCAAGGTTTCAGGAAGAAGTAAAATGCACGCGTTCAAGATAGAAAATCGCATACGATATATTCATTAGCATTAAATTTGGTACTACAACTGATATCTGCGTCTAACAGCTTCTACAAAGTGTAGAACGGTGCTCTCCTCTATCGACTTCGAAAAAGCTAAAACTCGTTCATTTCGTAACTTCGTTCTCGTAGCACTGCAAGAAATCAGCTGAACAGCGATGCCTGTATGCAACTTGCATTTGGAACCTCGTGTACTTATGTACTTATACATGTATATCTACAATGATTTTATGATCATTTTATGTCTGTTCACAATACGACGATTTCTATTACAAAATTATTTTATACGAAATTATAAGTAACAGACTACATCAGTGACATAGTTTCCCAGCAGAAACATAGGAAGGTATATAGTATATCCTGATGCAGTCTCCCGAAGACTTAAACTAAAATATTTCGCATACCGAATAAAATACACGATAATTCGGTTGATTGTATTTTGAAGCGCTTATTTCAACCAACAAACGGTACGAAAATTTAGGTAAAGTAGAATATTATCAAACGGAAGAGTAAGCAGAATAGGTGCACGGAAGTTTGGGAGTTATTTATATTCGAAAAATATAGAAGTCGCAAACGCGTGAACATTCGTGATTCTAAATCAGTAACATTTAGTAATGTAAGAAACATTTTTATAAGTTAAACGATTGTAGAACAATATTGCAAAACTGATATATCATTTGGAGCTTTTATCACGGTGAAATTTCTTACTGTTTCGACGTGCTAACTTTAGCGAAAAACATCGAGTTGGTCGTGCTTAAAATACCTTGTATCGGTACATACTGAAATTTAAGCGACTTACGAGAAATGAAACAGTTTTAGGCAAGATTTTCGGAGACTGATATCTTATCGTTTTAAATTTTAGATTCGTAACAGTTTATCAGTATACGATAAAGCTATGCGTCTTTTCACCTGCCTTCGTACACTCGGAAGACATTGTCTTCGGCATTCGGATGTGCTATTTGATCGGCGGTCGATGGTGCCCCTTCATCACCGGTCGATTCTGCCCCTTGCTCGGCGGCAATAACTTCGTTACTCCTGTTCATTTGCATGCTCTCGGCATTGTACAATACGTTATGACAAAGTGGACAGTGATCCTGGATGTACAGCCACTTTCGTAAGCATACGCTATGGAAGTAGTGATTACAGCGTGTAACCTTGGCACTCTGCATCTTATGATAGCAAATAGCACATACATCGTCCAATATTCGAAGCTGTTTCGCCGTTGCTTCCGGAAGAGAATTGATCTTGTTAACGGCAGATCGACGCTTCATAAACACGCTCCATCCGGCTTTCGCTTCACACCATATATTAAAGTACGCATGTATGCATATCATGACAGCACGGATCGCACCGCCGGATTCGAATACTAAAATCCAAAACCCGTTGAAGAACAGTATGATACCGAATGCGAATTCAACGGTGTTACCGAACGATCGTATTATGTACACGCAGTCGTCGAGCTTTTCCCAAAATACGCTACGGTAAGCGTCGATCAGAAACAGTGAATAAATCGCGAGCGAAACCAACACTTTTACTATCACCTCGATACTAAACACCGATACTGCCAATAACCACGTGCTTACACTATAGTGAGACCAAAGGAATACTAGCAACGATACAGGGAACAATATTAAAAATATGCAAACTCCCAGAGCGCGAAGGTGTCGGTGAAGAGCTGGATTATGCGAAGCGCTAAGAGACATCAATAGTGGATTTACTATGTTGAGCACGAGATGTAAAACTACTGTTAATAATAAGCAAAAGTTGCGGCACAGTCTGACCAATCGTTTCTCTCTATCCAAACTCGTCAAACCAGTTTGAAGGGCCAGTACGTAAAACAGAATTGCGGATACGGGGCCGATATTTTTCTCGTTTCCATCTTCCGTGAGCAGTACCCATTGGCAAAAACAGCCAATGTAATCGCAAATAAACGAAATGATACTGGTCATTCCCAACACTGCAGTCAAGGTCTCACAGCCATTGATCAAAAGATTTCTAAGCATTGCGTAATAGGTGAATGTCTCATCGCCGTAATTTTTTCCAAGGATCTGAAACACTTGTCTTCCTACGCGTAACATCCAAAACATGCGTAATACACATGGAACATTCAACCGAATCCATTCCGCTTCGGCAAGTGCGGATAGACCATAGTTGTTTATGAAGTTATACGCATGTTGATAACCTATGTAAATCATTTTTAACATGGTAATGCAATTGTACCATATAACAAATTTACATACAGCTAATGGAAGAAGAGCCGCAAACACCGGTACATGATAAAGAACTTGTGTCTGAAAAGATACATATTTGGTAACACACGAGTATACGTGGCACATAAGTATTGAATATCGTTTGTTTCAGCATGCGTCTGTTTTAAATCGAAGTAAATAAATTAAGCTGAACTTACCGGAAACGGACAAATGCTCAAGATCGATGGTGCCACAAAGCTCAGTACAAGAAATTTTTGCAGAAGCGGATGTCTTGGAGCAAGATGAATATAGCAAAATACGCTAGCCAATGAGCATTGTAATACATAATTCTGAATTATCAAAAATCCTGGTCCTTCGTTAAAAACGTATTTTAGATTAAGACATAAAATATCATCGAGTATGCTAGTTGTAGATTCATGTGTGCCCACATATGTAATAATAGCTTTCATTGTACTAATATTTGACCAATAGGATATAAATATTGCCCCTACTGATATTAGGTATAGGTATACGATTATTAGGTGGTTTTTCCATAACATAAATGTACATACTGCAGCAATATATCCTGAAAAATAAATATTTAACAATCAAACATATATTTGTACTCTATTATTTTATTTTAATTCTAACGTTCTAATGGAAAAAGGTGTAAACAACGTTGCCTAACAAATTTGGACTTTTCTCGAGTTTGTGAGAATCCACTGAGCGATCCTTACTAGGATTTGTTTTTCATTCTAAACACGAATCCGCAAGCAGAATTGTCACCCTCGCTTTTCGAAACATTCGAATCTTTGAAGAAATACTGAAAAAATGTATTGTCCGCAACACCATTTGTGCATTCAAACTTAAAAGTGATTACGTTGCACTTGACATTTGCGTGTCGCGTTCTTTTCGCTGTTTATGAATGTAGAGCAACGATCCGTAAACATTGCACATACGTACCAGTAATTATGAAAGGAAACAATCCAGAGAGAAACTGAATTTTTCGCTTATTTCGTATTACAATATATTTATTTTACAATGTAAAATTATTTTTGTAAAGTAGCAAAAAATAGAATCATTAAATCAAGTCCACAGTTCAGTCGAAATTAAATCTTTCAATTTATTCGAATGTATAAAACTTTTAATATCTTAAAATAAAATATACATAACTTAAATCTCTTGCATAATTACCAACACCTAAGTAAATAACATTTTATAAAAAGACAGTTTTGTACATAGACAGTATAGAAATACACGCTTCCTTAAAATTCAATGTCTATTTGCAGTCATTTAGTACTATAAAATATTGTAATTATGATCATTGGCACATTCAGGGATCTTTCCCTTATCTTTTAAAACCAATTAAAACTTTTTAATATTTTTGGCCCTCGTGTAATACTTCATTTTTGCTAACATAATTTTTTTTTAAATTTGGGTGACAAAGTAATTTTGTTTGCAGATTTGTCTTTAGCATAAAAATTCTACAATCATTGTTTAATAGTTATTGCAAAAAAAAAATTCGCGTTGAACAGTATAATCTTCAGTTTTGTGTACACTGATTCATGAATGACTTATCAATTGTATAATAAAGTTTGTTCCTCTTTACAAATGCAATGACCCATGAAAATTAACCCTACTACTTTGAATGTAAAACTACCATTCCACGACTGCTAACAATCTGTATTACTTAAAATTTATCTACTATAAACACTACTTTTCAACTATATTTTGTTATCAATTCTAATAAACAATCACAGTCTATTTCTAATAAATAACTATAAAATTATAAAATTTTGTTATACAAACAATAAAATGCATAACATCCAAGGAATCTATAACCTAAATAACATATAATAAGTTTAATTATACAAATACTTTGTTTTCACCTTAAATATTTTACTTCTTTTAACAATTACCCACAGCAATATATATTAAAATTATGAATAATTAAATATAATATAAATCATTCGTAATATAAATATCTTACCCAAACAACAGCACAGAAATTTCAGTACAATTATAAAATGCATTTTATGAGCAAAATATTCAAAATCAAATGGAACTAGGAATGAAGGTATCATTGAATTCACAATACTGTTTGAAACTTTTGATATTTCAAAGTCATGTTCAGTGCTCTCAAGCACTACATTATCGCTGGGTAATCCAAGTCCAATTCTTAGTAATTCATCCATGATAAATAAAGGTGGAACTCTAATTATGACATCCACGAAGGTAAGAAGTCTCTCACGCATAAATGTATCCATTGTTTTCTTTTTTTCAGTTTTTGGTTTGCAATATAGATGTCAAAGATGATATTTTGCTCTTATGGGATGCAAAAACTGTTTTCCCAATGCAATGGAATTTAATTTTGTTTGTTCAATACCTAAATTCAAAATGTTAAATTCATATTGTAAATGAAGTGAAATTGGTATGTTCTACTAAATTTAACACGCAATAGATACTAAATTACGTATAAGCTTACCTCTGAAAAGATAAAGTTTGTGGTTATCATATTCTCGAAACACGTTTGTCTTAGGCAATAGCTGGGATAATTTTTGTCATCGAAAATTCATTAACACGAAATATTTCAAGAGTTGTGAATTATAATTTATCCATGGTCAACGACGAAATGTAACGAAGGAATGATTTGGATAACAAAGATGTGGCAGGAATTCAAAATTTTAGAGAATCAACGTATCGAACTTGATCCTGTTGTAGTAGTATCACAAAATGAAGGTTTAACAAGAAAATATAGTTAATTATTTCTTACCTGACTACAGCTTATAGCATTAACTGAATCATTTATAAGTATTATAAATAAGATTTTACCATCGTGTGAGAATATTGCAACAACAGGTAGGATACGCAATTTTTCGGTCTTCGAATTTCTGTCAAATTCTGTATTTTCTTTGTACTCGTTTTTATTCACAATCCTTAATATCCGTTACTCGCGCACAATAATAATAACCAAAACGTGTAAATATAACAATGATGAGATTTAAACTAAACTACGTTTCTAAAATTCGCGTAATTTTCCTCAACGTAAAAAACGGTGTCGCATATACTTTGGAGGTTACAGAGTAACATGCACAGAGAATTTAAACGATTTGATCAGATGGCGCTACATTGCTTCAGTTCTACGTTTAATGTGATCTAAAAATAATGTTATAAATTTATATGAGTTTAAAATAAAATAAAGATTCGAGATAGATCGTTAAAAAATCATTATCATATGTGATTATGTTGTTGATATATTGTAAAAAGAAAGAGTATAACTGTTTATTTAAAAATAGATCTGTAAATAAGAATAAAAATAAAATATTTTCTTTTGTAAAGTTATAATTTCGAATTCACTACTATATAATTCACAAAATAATACTATCAAGTAAACGACACGTGCAAAACTACTACGTTCATTCAAAAGTTTGTCCACCAAATCACGTGCTATATATACAAAATGTGCATGCAGAAGAAAAATATATATACATGTTTATAATTGTAGATTCAATATTGGTAATTTTATTATGCAAATTCATAATTTTATTGTTAATAATATCATGTACTCTTTATCGTTCGCTCGCAAAAATAAAAGATGGTGACTGTAATGATAGTACACAGACAATGAAAGAAGTGGAGAAAAGGAATGAGGAGATTAAAATTAAATTTCAATTGATTGTGGAAGCATACTGTTGAAACGCATCTCCAATGACATCGAATATTTTCCTTCAGGCGTATACTTTACTTCGTTTCATGTAAAATTCATCTTTCGAAAAAATATTCAAATATAATAAAAAATAATGATAATATACAAAGCTTTAAAAAGAGACTAGAAACTTGTATTGTAACACTGTTTAAAAACAAAATTTACTGATTTTCTTTCGCATCTTTTTCTCATACACGCCTGATATATTCGATGTTTAAATGCATATATCGTTTTATCCGGAAACAAGATAAATAAACGGTTGTATCATTTGCCTCCCTCTGTCTCTGTACAGGCATGCAACGACACACGTGCAGAGTACAGAATATTCATACTGTCATTCGTTCAGAACTAGCTACCATATAACTTATCTATGTATGTCTCGACGCAGTGTTCATTCGTTTCTCTGAATTAGTTGTATCTTAATGCGCTTGCATATGCTACCGTAATGCTACATTATAGAACAAGTGTCTTTTTATTTGTGATTTCTTTTATAAATCTGCATCCTCTTCGTTTCTCCTTTGTCCTGACACCGTTCTAATCACTTACGATAAATTTCATCGACAATGTTTGCGCTCGCAGCATTTAATTCGATTCTACTTTTATTGTTCCTTTTTTTTTCTTTTCTTGCAAACAAATTAATCGCTATCTTGAATTTGAACTGGCACTCGCCTTTAGTGACGCTGGTATCTTTTGAGGCACATTATACGGTACAAAATAAACTCGACAATCTCAGAGAGTTGTAGATTGGTGATGACAATTGTACATCTTTGAGACCATTTCGAGCATTTTTGAGAAGCAATTACGATCAGGTTGAATGGTAGAGTCAAAATCAGGAATGAAAAATGTTACTCGATTTCGACAGTTTTGCTCATTATTCTCATTTATGCTTTACATCATTCTTCTCGCTACCTAATGCATGCCTTACGCCTCTTTTTCAGTTACATTAATTCCGTGATCCTTTACATTTTTGTAGCGTAAATTTCTTTTCTAAAAATCTGTACCGTGCAAACAGACGTAAATAATTTTAAATCGTGGAAAGAACTCAACCGTTTTTCTCGATTTCGTTTTTTCCGTTGGAAAGATGATGGAGTACAATGTAAGACAGACAGTAAAAACGACAGTGTTCTTTACGCATAACATTCTATGGCACGATTCTTCTTAACTCGACGATGGATACCATAATCGTTCTTTTTACCTAATTGCGTGCATTAGCGAGAAGAAATGAATTACAGAATAATAATCGAGAAGAATGTTTCCTGCGATAAATGAATCTAGTTAATCGACATTACGAAAACTTGACATAAATGAATTTCTGAGTATCGCGAATCTCGCTATTGTATAATTCCGTTTCATTGTACCTCACGCAAGACAGGTAAAAAGACTTTTACGTATTCGCTATAAAAACGCTAAGTATGGACTAATAATACATGGTACCTTAATAAAAATAGAGCTTCAACATTCGGCTAGTAATACAATGACGTTTATTATATCACAACGAGACAGGTCCTGCGTGCCAAAATTCTACTCTGTTCAGCGTTTCCTTTAACTTTTTTTTACGTCAATTCGGATTGTCCGATGCACGGATGCAGCGATGATACGACCAGTTGTAAGGCATTTTTTAAATATTCAGAATGTCTTTCGAAGGGATCCATACATACGAGACCTCCATTTCTTCTTCGTGTATCAAGCAAGCGGATACAAATTGTATCTTCTTTTAGATTAATTTTATACCTAAGTTAATTTTAGTCAATGGAATCCATGTTTTCTTTTTCTTCTTTACAGTTTATTATATTTTAGTAGTCTCATATTCATCGATCCCATTAGTATTGAATTTTACGAATATTAAAGAAGGATCTAACGGGAGCCCCGGGCCCTTCGTTGCATACTTCGAGTGTTTCGGAATATAACGGTTTCCGTAAGATTTTTTACTGCGTGAACAAGTATCGTTTTATTCCTGGTCACTTAATACGATCATTTAATTCGCAATCAATTACATCATCATGCTATCTAGCATACCGAACAGATCAAGTCGTCATCACCGTGACTAAACCTGCATAGCAGTTAACAAAATAAACAAGTTACGCAGAGTCCCTATAATAATATCAATAATGATAATAATAATAATAATAATAATAATAATAAT